GACTCACTTTAGCTTTTAAGAAATATGAAGGCCAAATGTGAAGGGATGGAAAGACATTTCTTGCAAATGGTAATCAAAGGGTGTAGGGATGGTTATACTTGTATCAAACAAAATAGGCTTTAGCTAAAAAATTATCAAGAGACAATGACGGTCATTAAAGTGATTAAAGGGTCAATTCAATAAGAAAATAGAACAATTTTATTTATTTTTTGTATTTTTGAGACGGAGTCTTGCTCTGTTGCCTAGGCTGGAGTACACTGGTGCAATCTTGGCTCATTGCAACCTCTGCCTCCTGGGTTCAAGTGATTCTCATAGCTCAGCCTCCCAAATAGCTGGGATTACAGGCATGTGCCACCACACTCAGTTAATTTTTGTATATTTGGTAGAGAAGGGGTTTCATCATGTTGGCCAGGCTGGTCTTGAACTCCTGACCTCAAGTAATCTGCCTGCCCCAGTCTCCCAAAGTGCTAAGTTTATAGAGCCACTGTGCCCAGTCAGAAAATATAACAATTCGAAATATCTGACATCAGAAGAACTAAATATATAAAGCAACTATTAACAGAATGAAGAGAAATAAAGAGGAATAGAATAATAGGATACTTTGGCAGCTTATCCCCTTAACAACAGAGAGATCATCCAGATAATCAATAAGAAAACAGCAACTTGGACAACATTATAGACCAAATGGACCTGTATAACAGACATACAGAACATTCCATTTAATGGCAGCAAAATACACATTCTTCTCAAGTGCATATTAAACATTCTGCAGAATAGATATGTTAGGCCACAAAACAAGTCTTAACAAGTTAAAAAAAGACTAAAATCATATTGAGTATCTTTTTCAACCATAATGGTATAAAAGTAGAAATGAATAAAAGGAGGAAAATTGGAAAATTCACAAGTATGTAAAAATCAAACACCACACTCTTGAGACAAAGAATAGGTCAAAGAAAAGATCAAAAGAAAAATTAAAAAAGTCAGAAAAACAAAAATAGAAACATTACATACCAAAATGTATAAGATGTGGTAAAATAAGTTCTAAGAAGAAAGTTTATAATGATAAATACTTACGTTAAGAAAAAGATGAGAACACCTCATGGCTAACAGAAAACAAAAACAAAAACAAAACAAAACAAAAAACACAAAACACCTCAAACAACCTAAGTTTAAATCCTGAGGAACTAGGAAAAGAAAATGAGCCCAAAATTAACAGATGGAAGGAAATAATAAAGATTATAGCAGAAATAAAATAGCAAAAGAGAAAAAAAAAGATTTTTAAATAAGATAAATGAAAATTGACAAACCTTTGCAAGACCAGCCAAGGAAAAAAAGAACTCAAATAAATAAAATAAATGAAAGAGGAGAAATTACAACTAATACCAAAGAAGTACAAAGAATCATAGAAAATACTATGAACAATTATACATCAACAAATTATATAACTTAGAAGAAATGGACAAAATTCTAGAAACATATAACCGATCAAGGCTGAATCACAAAGAAATGGAAAATAAAAACAGACTAATGCAGGTAAGGAAACTGACCCAGTAATAAAAATTTTCCAACAAAGAAAAGCCAAGGACCAGATGACTTCATTGAATTCTACCAAATAATTAAAGAAGAATTCATGCCCATTCTTCTCAAACTCATCCAAAAAACTGAAGAGGAAATACTTCCAAACTTATTTTATGAGAAAAGTATTACCCTGATAGTAAAGCTAGATAAAAACACTGAAAGAAAAACTCAAAGGCCAATATCCCTGTTGAACCTAGATACAAAAATTCTCAACAAAATACCAGCAAACTAAATTTAACAGCACACTGAAAGGATCATATACCATGACTAAATGCGACTTATCCTGAGATACAAAGATGGTGCCACATGCAAATCAATACATTAGACATGCCACATTAACAGAATGAAGGACAAAAATCATATGATCATCTCAACAGATACAGAAAAAGCACATGACAAAATTCAACACCCTTTCATGATAAAAAGCTCTCAACAAATTAGGTATGAAAGGAATGTATCTTAACATAATAAAGGCCACATGTGTCAAGGCAACAGCTAACATCACACTTAACAGTGAAAAGCTGAAATATTTTTTGCTAAGATCAGAGACAAGACAACAAAGAATAGAACTCACCAGTTCTATTCAACAAAGTACTGGAAATCCTAGCCAGAGCAATTAGTCAAGAAAAATAAAATCAAATCAGTAAGGAAGAAGTAAAATAGTCTCTTTGCAGATGACATGATATAGAAAACCCAAAAGACTCCACCAAAAACTGTTACAACTAATAAATTTAGTACAGTTGCAAGGTACAAAATCAAAATACAAAAATCAGTTGGGTTTCTACAGGTTAACAATGAACTGTTTGAAAAAGAAAGAAATAATCCTACTTACAATAGCATCAAAAACAACAGAATACTTAGAAATAAATTTAACCAAGGAGGTGAAAAATCTGTTTACTGAAACCTACAAGCCATTGATGCAAGAAACTGAAGTACAAATAAATGGAAAGGTGTACCATGTTCATGAATTGAAAGAATTTTGTTAAAATTTCCATACTACCCAAAGTAATCTGCAGAACCAATGTAATCCTAATAAAAACTCGAATGGCTTTTTCCCCCCACAGAAATAGAAAGAAAAGACAATCTGAAAATTTGATGAAACCACCAAGGAGCTTGAGTGGCCAAAACAAAAAAACAAAGTGAAGGCATCACACCACCCAACTTCAAAATATATTACAAAGCCATAGTAATCAAAACAGCATTGTACTCCACAAAAAGACACATAGACCAAAGGAACAGAATAGATCCCAGAAATAAACCCATGCAACTACCTTTGACAAAGCTACCAAGACACAATGAGGAAAAGATACTGAAAGAAAAAATCAAAAGTGCTGGGAAAACTGTATACCCACCTGCAGAATGAAATTGGTCCTTGACGTTTTGTGTGACCGAAGTAGTTTGAAAAGAAGAGTGAGTGAGGGAGTGAGCAAGCTATAAAACTAGGCAGGGACCAAGTCAGGGGTTGCCAAATGTCAGGCTGAGCTTTGGTACTTTATTTGGCAAGAAAATAAAACTGAAAATAGAGTTATGTAGTAGCTCATCAAATGAAAAAGGATGCATTTGGTTCTAAAGTTCAAAATGAGTGCAGTACATCACACTCCAGTATGGAAAATGTTCATGTTATAGGTCATTTTAATGAACACATGCACACACACTTTAATTTTCAAAGACCAAAGTTTAAAGAAAATACTTTTTAGTCAAGTACAGATCCCCAAAGATTTATTTAAAGCAATTTTTTATTTAAATAGTCTTCATTTTTGAAACATTTTCCCCTAGTACTCTAATCTCAAAGTCAGCATTTCTCAAATGCTGATGCCACTGGGAAAAATATCCAAATTGGTAATGAAAACATATGCTATGTACATCTGCTCAAACCAGCAGCAACATGATGTCAAACAAAAATGGATGGCATTAAAACAAAAATCCAAAAACCCATAATGGCAACTAAAAAGCAGCAATAAGAACAAACAGAAATTAAAATCTCTAGCTATAAACAATGAAGACTTACAGATTAAATCTAAACTTTACTCTTTCTGTTAGTACAGAAACCTCTTACTACTAATATTCAAATAGGGTGCAATGGAGGTGTTACTTTTATATTCTCAGTAACTACCTTTCCTCACCTGCTCCCTATGGCTTTCTTCTAAAAATTTTCCACTCCCGGCCGGGCGCGGTGGCTCACACCTGTAATCCCAGCACTTTCGGAGGCCGAGGCGGGTGGATCACGAGATCAAGAGATCGAGACCATCCTGGTCAACATGGTGAAACCCCGACTCTACTAAAAAAATACAAAAAATTAGCTGGGCATGGTGGCTCGTGCCTGTAATCCAGGCTACTCAGGAGGCTGAGGCAGGAGAATTGCCTGAACCCAGGAGGCGGAGGTTGCGGTGAGCCAAGATTGCGCCATTGCACTCCAGCCTGGGTAACAAGGGCGAAACTCCGTCACATTTAAAAACTGACCGGATCAAAAAAAAAAATTCCCACTCCCTTGGGCAAATTCCTTTCTTGATCAGCTCAGGAAATAAATGTGATCCAATCTGGGCAAAATTGAAGTACTTCTCCAAAATTTTACATAGCTTGCTATATAAAAGCTTTGAACCTTGCTATGATAAGGTAAGCTTAAACTGTCAATTGCTGTTATCCACCATCTTCACCTCACTGCTCCTCAACCCTAACATAATATCTTCAAGGGGAAAATCTGCCTGGAAGAGAAAACCAATCCATAAAAAAGAAAATAATCAGAGCCAAGTGTGTAGGATGGTAAGATGACTTCTTCGGACGTTTGGACCCAGGCCCAGTCATGCCTTGACTTCCCTGTATATAAGCCAATAAACTGCCCTTCATGCTGACACTATTTTGAGTTTTTTTCACTTGCAAATGAAGAATGATTGGTTACTAATCATCCTTCACTACATCTACCTGAAAATAAACAACACATTTTAATGCAATAGAATAAGGCTTAGTCCATTTCATGTTGTTAGAATATCTAACATTGGGCAATTTATTTTTTAAAAGAGTTTTATTTGGCTCATGATTCTGTTGGCTGGAAGGTTCAAGATTGGGCAGCTGTTACCTGGCGAGGGCCTTATGTTGCTTCTACTCTTGGCACAAAGTTAAAGGGGAGTAAGCATATGCAAAGAGATCACATGGGAAGAGAGGAGGCAAAAACGAGAAAATCAAGGAAGCCAGACTCTTCAATAATCTGCTCTTGTGGGAACTAATCCATTCCTACGACAGCGACAGCGAGAATGAGAACTCACTCACCCCAGTAGGAGGGCATTAGTTTATTCATGTGGGATCTATCTGCCCCCATGACCTAAACACCTTCCATTAGGCTCTACTTCCCAACACTAGCACATGGGGAATCTAATTTCAACCTGAGTTTTGGTAGGAACAAACTACATCCAAATTGTAACAGTGTAGATTAAATAAAAATAGACCAGCATCTTTATGTAAAATTTAGTAACATGAAATCAGGTCTAACACAAAGTATATGTCAACCTAATTAAACAGAAATGTATAAAGAAAACTGTTGGCATTATAGTTATGTGACTAACATTTTATTATATGTCATGAAACCTGAATCCCACTACTTGCTACATGAAAACAAACTGGCTCAACTACAGTTTGGAATATTAAATATCTATTTTTAATAACTCTTTTCAATTTTTTTTTTTGGAGACAGAGTCTCACTCTGTCACCCAGGCAGTGCCCAGGAGTGCAGTAGCACAACCTCAGCTAACTGCAACCTCTGCCACCTGGGTTCAAGTGATTCTCGTACCTCGGCTCCCTGAGTAGCTGAAATTACATGTGCCTGCCCCCACACCTGGCTAATTTTTGTATTTTTAGTAGAGACGGGGTTTTGCTATGTTGGCCAGGCTGGTCTCAAAAATCTCTCGACTTCCCAAAGTGCTGGGATTACAGGCGTGAGACACTGTGCCTGGCTAATTCATACTTATAACAGGCACAGGTATAAGTGTTATTTACTATAATTTACTACTATTAATCCCATATGTATAATTAGCAATTATGAGAGGCCTATCTTCTCTTTGAAATTATTGTTTAAAAAAATAAAGAAAACCAAGTGGAGCTTTTCTCCTTTTAAGATGTGATTCATGAACAAAATGCAGGATGCTGAACTTAACAAGGGTCAGGGAATTTGTTTACTCATCAGAATTTGTCAATAATCTAACATGGAGAGGGCCTCCAAAAAGAAATTGGGTCTTAATGCTACAAACATCTAGGGCTTTCAGTTTATTCCAATTCCATACCCTCCAAGCCATTGGTAATTCACTAAAACACATGTGTATTGTAAATCTTATGGGAATAAATGTGCATATTAATCAAATAAGTTGATAGTTAAATTTAGGGGAATTCTGAGTTACATTCTTTCCTAAGAAAGCCTATAATGGAAAATTCTAATAGAATTCTAGAAAATAAAGATGGCAAAGATGCATTAGATGATGTAGATTTCTTTTTTCCTCCTGAGCAGTGGAAAGTACAGGATAGTTTGTTTTTTGTCCAGTTTTCAATTTAAATTCAGAAGGGACGGAACTCAATACTTTTCTTGGAAATGAGACTGCATCATAACAGATTTCACTGTCAGGAAACTCCTATCCACCCTGATATTCAGATCACATGTTCTTTTTATAGACTTTATCCCACTTTTCCTAATAACAATTCTATGACATGTTTCACTCAATTCATCTACCTCTTGCTGGTTTCAAGAAGGCACATTTCACTTTAGATTATATATGAATTCCTTGAAATCTCATTTATTTGTCTCTCCAGTAATATGGTGAAAAACATAATTCTACACAAATTCTTTATTATATATTAGGAGAAGATTCCTGAAGTTGCTTTAGAGATTATATACATGCATATTTCTCAAATTTCAAGGCCTCACTTTCTATGAACTTTCTATGAATCACATTTCCACTACTACTTTTATACCAAAGGTCTTTCTGGTATTGCTTTTTTTCGATTCTCTTCTCCAATTTCTACCCCAAGTTATACTTGTGTTCTACAAATTTATCTTATGCTCATCTTCTCATTATCTTTTCATATTTCAAAGTCTCCTTAACTAACATCTCTGGTTTCTTTTTGGTAAAAAACTTATTCCAACTGTAAACTAAAAATGAATTTCATTCATGTCCAACTTTATCATTGCTTTTTAACGATTAAGTATACACATGTAATACAAATGTAACAATATTTTACTCTCTTATACTCATATTGCAGTGTCATAGTGGTATAAACTCCAATAAAATTAAGAATTATTTTTCAGTATGTGAGATCAAACTGTATACAGAACTGCCGTAACATATAAATTAAGCTGTGTATATACATTAATATGTACATATACATTCCAATAACATGTTGATTTCCTGGTTTTTTTTTAAAGTTATTGCTAGACATATCAAAATACAGTATAAAACTGGCCATCACAACACCCTTCTGCAGTAATGATGAGAGTGGACTGGGAATGTGACGAAAGGCACAGAATTCATAAGACTTGAATAAGTAGATGAATGGCTCAAACAATGTGGAGCCACTGATTTTCTGAAGTGAATATAAGAAACAGTAGTTGATAGTATTTATTCAGGCTTTTAGTCCAGACATTGTACTAGGAGTTTCTCAAGTAGAAAAGCTGTCTCACAAGGGTAAGTTACATATGAACTCTTAAGATAAAAGGGCAACTGATGGATGACTAGTTCTCCTCCTGTGGCTAGACAGTACGTTGCAGAGCCTTTCTGTTTAATGAGGTTCTACTAAAGAGAATGCCAACTCTGTGGTTGACACAGGTGATCCTTGGGTTTGGTCATGCATCAAATTAACAAATAAAAAAGTTTTCAAGTTTTCAAGGCCAGGTGTAGTGGCTGATGCCACTCACAGTAATCTCAGTGCTTTGGAGGCTGAGGTGGGAGGATTACTTGAGGCCAGGAATTTGAGACCAGCCTGGGCAACAGAGCAAAACCTGTCTCTACCAAAAAAAAAAAAAAAAAAAAAAATAGCTGAGTGTGGTGGTAGAAGCCTGTTGGGAGGATCATTTGAGCCCAGGAGTTTGAGGAAGCTATGCTCGTACCACTTGCACTCCAAGACCCCATCTAAAAAAAAAATAATAATAAAAATGAAATAAAGAAAGAAAGAAAAAAGAAAAAAAAAAACACTTTTCAGTTTATGGAATTAAGCATATTAAAAGCCGGGGCCTAGTAAGTACTACATTGATCAAGTGCAAAGGTGAGTTTTTAATATGAATAAAGGGGTCTTACAAGTCAATTAATTCAAGAGGCTATAAAACACATTTTTAAAAAAAAGTTTAGATTATTTTTCATATAAACAAAAAACTCCAATCACCCACTGACAATACCCCAATCATCCAACAGCCCATCAATGCAGAGTCTGCTGCAATTCTCTGGAAATTTTCATATTCTTCCAGAAAAAGTGCTCAATTTTCATTGCCAAGGTTCTTGGTAGATTCACTTTTCACTAGGAAAAAATAAGTAAACATACAGTCAAGTGTTTATACTGTTTCTGTTTAGCTTGCTCTGTCTCTCTTCTCTCCCTCCTTCTGATGCACAGCAACAGCACTACTCACAGGGACACACAAACCACATTATGTCCCAGGCAGCTAGGATATACAATTCTGGCCACAATAAATAGAGAAATGATGTCTGAAAGTGGCAATTATATTTTGTGAGGTAACATCCTTCCTGACTCTGTGGAAGACTTGGGAATGGTCACTTCACAATGTGGTTATGATCCATATTCATGCCATTGAATAGATCACTATTATCCAGGCTGGCCATTTGTGGTTGGAATAAATTTTTCCATGACTTTTTTTTTAAACTTAAATTGAAGGTCAGTATATGTTGAGTCAATGTGGAGTGACAGAAGACTAGCTAATCGCCATCTCCTTCCTTTCACAGGAAAGAAGACTCAGAGTAGAAATGGAGATTCTTTGACACCCCTGTCTTGCTTAGAGCAAGCAAGACTATGACTCACTCACTAAACTGAGTTCCTGGAGGACAGAAACTAGACGTTTCTTCTCTGTATCTATCCTCACAATGTAGAGCATGTTTGCTGAATCAAGGTAAATGCACGTCATTCTGTCTTTTAGTTTTTCCCCTTAATCTCCAAAATGGGAACCAGAGTAAGTGTTCTATTTCATTGTATTATGATGCTAAAAGGAAATAATAGGTAGTAACTCTTTAAAAATTGTCCTGGTAAAATACAGGTTATTTTGAGGCTTATGGCTGTTGTCTCCATTGAGTAGATAAGAAAACTAAAACTCAGAGAGGCAAAGTAAATGCACAAGGACTCATAGGTTATAAAAGCTGATGCTAGAAGCATACACCTGGAACTCTGCCTCATATTCCAACTGACAAGTTCCCTGGGGTTTGCTGTTGAATCTAGACTTCAGACTGTACCAGAAACCACAATAGTGTTTACTGAGTACTTTTCATGAGTAAGGTGCTGAAATAAGTTCCATCCAAGATATCGTCCCAATCTTTGTGAAATTTTATTAACACTAGCAGTCCATCCAGTTCCTCCAAGATATTAGAAGTTTTTCCTCCTCTGGCTGTCTCTGTACTTCAGGCAAACTCTATTATAGCATCTATTGTATAGTAAATTTTACATGTGTGTTCCAGTGCCTAAAATCCTTCCCTCTCTCCCTGCAAAAGGAAAAGAAAGAAAAGAGAGGTAAGGAATAATGAGGAAAGGTGAGTGAGGGAGAATGGATGAAAGATTTACTGGCCCAGTAAGAGACTGATATATGAGTAGCTGCTGTGCCGGGTATTGTCACTAATCAAGTAATCAATTTTGGGTTGGATTCCTTCTCTAAAGGCTGAGGCATTTTCTAATTTTGAGTTATATTAGAACATCGAAAAGTGTATTTTGCTGACATTTATAAATTAATGGGAATTTGTAGCAGTATGGAGGGCACTTTCCCCTTTCTTTGCCTATTGAAGGTGCCCAGTTTTCTTCTTTGAATTAGGGATCCATTCTTTTTTCCTTAGATTGAAATGCAGCATGCTTTTATCAATCATTTAAATCTGCTAGTCTAACTTTGGCTAATAACAGCCTGTGAAGCAAGTTACACCATTCTGAGCACTTGGATTGATAAAAGGTAGGTATTCAGAACACAGCATCTCCAATCTAGTGGACTATCTTAACTGCTCATCCTTTTCCAGTTAACCTTTTCCATTCCTAAAAAAGCAACAAACAAACAAAATTTTGGCTATTGTTGATTAATATAGGCAGAGTTAAAAAAAATTGTGGCAATCTACAATCATAACAAATACTGTAACAACCATCAGGTGTTGGAACTACGGAGTCCCAGCCCAGAAACATATTTACCCCCAAATTAGGAAAGAGACAACTTGTACTATGAACTTAGGATCAAAATCCAAATTTTTTACCTCCAGAGAAAGAAGGAATTTCAAGACTTTCCAAAGAAAATGCCCTCTTCTTACATAATCCCCTTCCCTCATCAAGGGATCACCCTGCAGAATATCTAATGCTGTGAGTATGTATAAACAGACACCTGAAAGTACTTACAGAAAGAAATGCACATACAGGAAGACCTGGGCATTACTTTTAAGGTATGTGTACTTATGATGTGACAAAACTGGTATGGTTTTAAAATCCTGTCAGATACTTTTGTTTTTTTGCTAACACAGTTCTAAATAATCCTCTGTACTAAAAGCATGAGTCATTTGTGTTCTGTAAATAAGTCAAACATCATATACCCACCAGAAAAATAGCAAATTTTATTCAGTAAGGCTCCCAGTACACTAGTAGTCTTTTCTTATTGCTTCATTACAGGAAGCCTTCCTTAAATGTACATTCCTAAACAAGGTGAAAGGAGAGCTGTGTATGCTGTTTATTTACACAGATGATATTTGCCCTAGCTACTAACCTACATCACTAAACAACTTTTCTTGAAACCAGCATTTGAGAGAGCACTGTGTGAATTTATTAAGAAAAAAGAAAAATAATACAAAGCTTAAACAAAGTGAAACTGCCATTTAAAACTAAAATTCCTAATTTATTTTGAGAAAATTATATAGAATATTCTCAAATTGTAAAAAATATTAATGTCATGAAGAAAAATGTGATTTGGAGGTCCATAATTTATTATTAGAAACACCATGTTTGCCAACTAAAATCTACTTTCAAGTTGTAGCACTGATAAAATTTTGACCACTTTGAAAAACATTTTTTTCCATTAAGTTTTGCACAGAAAAAAACACTATGCACAACAGATAAAACATTACAACATAGGTTACTGCATCTTACACCCTAATGGTGGTATAACAATAAAACTTAAAGCACACATTTCAAATACTACTTAAAGAATAGTTTATCAACAGGCAACAACTTGAGAGAGAGAAAAAAAAAGAATAGAGTTCAATTCAAGACAAAGATTCTATGTTCCTCTGGAGTTTGTTACAACAAAACTGGGCCTGTATCTATAATTCCTGTAGTTGAAAGTGCTATGTAATAGTTTTGGGTTAAGGTGAGTAATTTTCTTCACTTTTTAAAGGTAGTCACTAAATTTTACTCATCCTCTAAAATCTTGAATTCAGAAATACAATTAGTTTACTTCAGTCAGAAGTTACAACTATAGTTAAGTAATTTTATGGATTAAACTTTTATGTATATTTTTTCCAGTTCTAGTACTTCCCTGTATCATAAAATCAGAGAAACAAAAGCAGAGAAAATAAAACCAGTGGGTTTAGAAAGGGAGAGAAAGGGTAAAGGCAATGATATTAGCTTAGTCTAAATGCTGCCAAATTTTTAAATATAATGTTCCTTGCAACATTATCTCTTTCTATAAGGTAGAATACTAGCTTTTTTTTTTTTAAAACCATTCAACATTTTTATTGTCAGCTAAAAATGTTTTGTAATCCCTCATTTTAGAAATGTCTGAAGTCTTAACTATGGAGTAAATTTATGTAATCATGGACAGTTACTTAAAGACTATTAGCTTAAAAAGAGACAAAAATACACAGAACTCCAGGCCAAAAAAAAATCCTTTCTTAGTCATTCAATTTGATTCATTCACTTAAAATTGGTTTTAAAAGATTATATGCTCATAAAAACAGAAAAAGAGCAGCATCTCATTTATTTAGTTTTTCACATTAACTGTAGCTATAGAGTAGATCTTGTAAGTGTGTAAATATAGTGGAAAAACATGTATAAAGAAATAAGGGTGGACACATTTTGCTTTGGTTTCTCTAAAGCTATTCTAAGCATTATAGGAACAAATTTACACTTACCTTGGTGAAGAACTTTCATGTCATTATTGGATCCTTTCAATACCACATGTAATGTTGGATACTCAATGATCACTTTGTTCCTCAAATTGTCTAGGAGACTTTTATAAGGATCTAGTTCATAATATCTTAATAAAAAACAAAAACAAAAAAAATAGGAAATACCCTTAACATTCAAAATTACTAATAAATACATGACAGTCCTTTACATTAAAAATTTTTAAGAGGTGATGACAATTCAGTAGTTATTTCCTTATAGTATAAGTTTAATACCTTCTCAGAAAGGCAGGTACAGAGCTATTATTATAGGGGTTCTAAAACTAAATCTAAAAAAATCAAATATTCTGACATTAGGAAAGCTCTAGAACAAGCTACCAATTTCCATACCAAGTAAAAAATAAAGACTTTAATATTTGTTATTTTTCTTGAATAAAAGGATGACTAGCTAACAATTCAAATTCCTCAAATATATTTATTTTGAGCCTTAAAGACAACCAATTATCTTATGATAATTTCCAGTAACATGGCAATAAAATAACTGATTATGAAATTGGCTTTTGTAAAAAGTCAATTATTCTAACTAGTTTCCAGAAATTTATATTGCCATATAAAATTTAAGAAACACAGAGTTTATCATGACATAGCTGCCAAATGTGTCACAGGTAATTACCTGCTAATATTCATTAAAGTATGAAATTCTCAAATCATTATTTAAAAAAAATAAGTTTGAGGTGACTGAATACGCATCTCCAGAACATTCATTTTTCCTTGCTTTCTGGGGTGGGAGCAAAAGGGATAGAATTCTAGCTAGCTCACTAGCAGGTACCTATGAGAATATGTTGGCATGTTAATGTCATTTCATGCCAAAGAAGAAAAAGTTGAGAACACGTCCATCAGTGTAGTGCAGAAGTTCTCTCCAGCATTTTTTATTCATCTCTACCAATGACAGATGATAGTCACATGTAAAATACATATCACATGAGATATCCAGACTAACAGCTATAACTCCATCCTTTTATCTCCTGTTCAAAAAAGGACACTGGAACACAACTGATCAAGAGTGAGGCTACCACTCGGATGCATTTAAGTTTGCTGTAATTTTGAGTGAATCATTAACAAACTTTGGTATTTCTTAATTAGTAATAAATTATCTGCACCATCATAGCTGTCTAAGACATGCAGGACACTTATTAAGAAATCTGATGTAGGGATTTCTTCATGTTCTGAGTTTGTCTCATGCAATCGTTTTCAAATCAGGAAAAATAAAAGTGCTTAACAAAACGCAGAGCCAAGCTTAACAACATGAAAGAACAACTGTAAAACCAAAACTTTACTTATGCTTCCCTGACCACATGTCCCAGCCTGGAATTATTCATTTTAGAATTGGAGAAGATTCTTTATGTTGAAAGGAAACTTGAAATGCAAAATACTGTTTTTCTAAACCAGCCACCTTAGTGCCCACAGATCATAGAATTCATACATTCTTCTCCCTGTGTGTAATGTAATACAGATGTGCTTACAATACTTTAAAAGTGTTTCCAGCATTTAAGGATTAAATGCTTCACATCTTTTAAACATTATGTTTCTTTGAAATAAGCAGTATTTTTTTAAAAGTTAGTAGTAATTATATAAAAAAGAAAAATGAGATTGTATCAGACACCCAAGTATAGGATTAACTTACAAAGAAAAATATAAAATGGGATAACTAATTTTTCTTGGGCGGAAACAAGACTTGGACTCTCAAACAGGAACTTTTCAAGTCACATCCTACAAACACTTGGAATAATTTATTTTCTGTGGATTTTAACTAAATCATAAGGCTTCTATTCAAAGGCATTTTTCAAATAAAGGATTTTTTTTTCTACTTGTTTCGGTTTTTGGTAAATAATTTTCAGTGTACACTTGTTTTAGGTGTCTTATTTCTTTTTGTAATATTAAATTTTAATTGAGTTTCTCTAGATTTCCAAAGCTGAAACCAAGAAGCATTGAAAAGAGTTCTTCAAAAGCCACATGGGAATCAGAGCCTAAAATTACTGCTGATATAAAATATGATCCTAGCAGAGGAATGTTCAGAGATGTATAAAAATTACTATGCAACAAGTTATACATGCTTTGGATCCTAAAACTATAATGATTATACTTGTTTACTTAAAAAAACTTGGTTCCTGTTTTACATGCTAAGCAGGCACTGTGCAAAGCACTAAGGATGCAAAAATTTATAAGAGCCTCGTCAACTAATAAATTATTTTAAAAATATTTTATGCAATGAAAATCTGGTATGTTGTGCGGTTTTGATTAGAATTAGTGGATTTTAGTGTTTAGCCTAAAATGTTGCAAACTTCTAGTCAGCAGTATGCTAATCAGTAAGCTTCTGGGCCACAGCTTTCCAGCCTGTTAAATGAAGCAATAAGATTTCACTAAATAATCTTTTAGCTGAAATTCTGAATTTCTTAGATTTTTCTACTACTAGTGGTTACTGTTAGTCTACCACTAATATTTATCAGTAAATTAAAAGTAATTTTTAAACTGTTCATAAAGAAAGCTTATCAGACACATATGGGGTTAACATTTTATGGACTTAGAATTTAGTTAAATGAAGCAATAACTTTTAGTGGTTGTTTGGTTTTGCAGTTTAGCTCTGAGTTAAAGTCCTGGCTCCATCATTCACTGGTCGGTGATACTGGACTAGTTACTTAACTTATTTAATCCTCAGTTTCCATGCTTGAAAATGGGGATAATCACAGTATCGCTTCAGAGAGTTACTGTGAGGGCTAAATGAGAAAACATAGAAACTGCTCACTCATTTATTTAAGCCCTAGGCACATGTGTTTTATATTTTTATTTACCAAAAATAACAGCACTTTCCTATAGAAACTTTAGTTCAGGACAAAGTCACTGAATTTCATTAGCAGTGAACATACTGCCTTTATATGCATTTTGCATTTTAATTGCAGCCTTACAACTTTCAGTTTGACCTTTCAACTCATTATTTTATTGTCACATTTACTTCCAAGAAGATAAAAGTACTTTGAATGTTTCTGCTTCCATTATCTTGAGGTAAGTTTTAAGAGTCCAGCTTTGCACTGCCTAAAACATTTAGGTTTAGCTCCTTTGCAAGCCATTAAGCTACTGAATCCTAAGGGACAGCTTTATCTTTTTGAAATTTTCACCAACTCTGGTATTTCCATTAGTATAATGGCTCTGCTACCATAAGACAAACTACTTAGGTTTGGAGGAATTAAGATACTAACATTTGTCTTTTCTCCTGCCCTCTGGGACCCTTCTTACACATTTCCTCTTGTTATTTCACTTGCTCACCCTCACAGGATCACTGGCTGACCCTGCTCTGGGCAGCCTCATGGGGGCATTATGAGGGCAGAATGGATCAGTGGGCTAAACAGGTGTTACAGTTACATTATATAAATAAGAGTTGTCGTGAAAATCAAGTTGTCGTGCTTTTAATCTTGACTCTGTCACTAACTTTCAAAAAAGCTGCCCAAGTTCTCGAACTTCTTTCTCTGTACTTTATTAGCAAATTAGTGTGCTTTTTTTTTTTTTTTTTTTAAAAAAAAAACTCCTTATAACTCGAAAAGACAAGTTTTTAAAGAAAGGAAGTCACAAACCACTTTACGTCCCATCTGACCACTGACACTTCATGGATCATCTCCCCTTCTATCTCCTAAAAAATATCAAAACTAAGTTTGAATTTCTCCAAATTTAACCATCTAGTAGCAGTCCCTAGACCACAGTATTTTTCCACTAAAATAAGATCACTGAATTAGGTGATCACCAACATCCTTCAGCTCTAAATTTCTACTATATTTGATACTTATCTACTAAAGGTAACACTTAACCTATATTTTTGCATAGTTTGTATTTATTTCTCAATCTAGGTTAAAAGTTCAACTAAACGATTCCAAGAAAGTTTTAATTCTTTTATTTAAATTTTAAAAAGGTATTATTTAAAATTTCTCCAAATAATACTTATTTGTAACAATTTTTGGAAATCATAATGTTCAAGTCACATAGAAAAAGATTTTGTCAAAGTTAATCTTTTTCTCACCCAATCTCTCAGTTTTCATATTTTAAAAATCACAGTAGTTAAATTAGTTTTGGAATTTTTATGTATCCATGTAAATTAGGATGCTCCCTGCTCATGGCTCACGTATAGTCCTCATTTACATGAAGCATAGATCATGAGTTGTGTAGTACATACATATACCTTAATTCAGAAAGTTCACCAGTTCAGAACTGCACTCAGTAAATTATCCTATTCTAACCATGATATTTAAACCATGGATGTGGTAAAATAAAATGGCCAACTATATATTTTAAAACCTGTTTTAAAGAGGGGCTTACAAGGCTCTGACTTGTTCTAGATGTTATTTCTTTGAAATCTTTTCTGACTTTCACTGGTAAATTCATTACTTTTAAATCCGAAAGGCTTGATTTCAAGTCTTATCACTGGTCCTCATGAGCTATGACTCCACAAGGAGACTTAGTTTTCTCATCAATATAATGGTAGGAAAGATACCTAACTCATGGGCTTTTTAAGGACTATAACAGGTGAAAATGTTTCCAAAGTGTAACTTGCTAAGCTAGCATCAGTAATAAGATTTTATACTCCAAAAGTAACTTGGCACCCCTAGCAAGGAAATGACATACTTATTAGCAGTTATATTTATGATTTATGACAGAGACAGAGACTAGTTAGCAGAAAAAGCATGAACTGAACTCTATTAACAAACAGGCCTGAGTCCAAATCCCAGCCTTATAAATTGTACAAATCTAATTTCTTTGGGTAAGTCAATTTTTCAGAGCCTAAGACTCCTAATCAGGTAAAGCAGAGAAGACACAGTACATACTTTATTAGAATTAATGCATGCGAAAACGTTGTAAGCATTAGCCTGGCATTTACTCCTCAATTGATTCCTCAAATATTTACTTAGTGCCTACTATGCACAGGTAGTCTGCTAGGTAACGGAAGTTCATAGAAATAAACCTGACACTTTATGGGGGGAGGCAGACAAACAACTATTGCATTTCACTGGCACAAAAAACACTGGCTGGTAATGGTTTTTTCCTTTCTATATTTAGTACTCCTTTCAAGATCTCTTGGAAGGCAGGT